GCCATTCTAGCTATGAGGGTCTGCAGGGGACAAGGTAGAAGCTGGACACCACAGGAGGCCCCTGCAAGAGCCCCGGAGAGACACACCGGGCAGCTCAGAGCAGGGCAGAGGTGGCAAGGAGCCATAGGCTTCTGAATATCTTCAGAAGGCAGAGCCAATGGCCATGTGGAGGGGTTGGGTGTGGGAATGGGAGAAAGGGATAGGAGAGTCAAGTGCAAATCTGAGGGCTTTGCCTGAGCCTCTGGGAGGGTGTGTTGCCTGAGCCTGGGAAGATGGAGGGAGTTGAGTTGGGGGAAGCGGGTGCCAGGAGTCTGGGGTGGGGTGTCTTTGATTCAAGATGCCATGGAGGGCGTTGGAATGGGGACTGGGAGGCCCGGCTGCAGGGAAATAGGGGGGAGTTGGGCGGATCAGTGGCATTGAAAGGCGAGAGACTGGAGGAGATCAAGGCGGTGAGTGTGGCCAGAGAAGGGAAGTCTGAGGCCTGAGCTGTGGGCTGTCCACAGTGCAGGTACCCCCTAAAGGTCAAGGAGTTGGAAACATGGTTGCCAGGGAGATGGGGGTGCAGCGGGAGACTTGCTTAGGGGGGATGAGAGTGCTTTCTGCTAGAGACCTGAGCCCAGCTTCCGGGAGGTTAGTTCTCTATCTCAGTGCTGCCCGCGTGTGCGGGGTGGATCGGGGGCTGCGGCTGGTCCGGCTGTGGTAGGAAACGGCAAGATGGCCACTGGCTGTCATCCTGACCCCTTTGCCCACGGCGTTGGGCATGGGTGCGGAGGGCGGGGCTCACCTTTCTCCCCGCCCTCCCTGACCCCTTGTAGGTTCATCAATAAGCTCCAGCCAGGCTCCGTGAAGAAGGTCAATGAGTCAACCCAAAACTGGCACCAGGTGAGCCCAGGCTGTTTTACCTCTCTCAACCCCTGGCCCGTAGCCCCTCAGCCCCCCCACCGCGCTCCCCCTCCACTGACCACCGCCTGCTCCTCTCCAGCTGGAAAACATTGGCAACTTCATCAAGGCCATCACCAAGTACGGGGTGAAACCTCACGACATTTTTGAGGCCAACGACCTGTTCGAGAACACCAACCACACCCAGGTGCAGTCCACCCTCCTGGCGCTGGCCAGCATGGTGAGTGGGGCCGAAGGGTAGAGGTGTGGGCCTGGGGCGGGGGTGGCTTTGGAGGGTCTAGGCTGTGAGGGGGGGACACCCAAACGCAATGTGGGTGGGAGAGGGAGAGCAGGGGCCAGGAGGGGACCATGTAGCCCCAAGGCTCCCTCGCCAGCCTGCTGCTCCCTTCGCCCTCTCCAGGCCAAGACGAAAGGGAATAAGGTGAATGTAGGGGTTAAGTATGCAGAGAAGCAGGAACGGAAATTTGAGCCAGAGAAGCTAAGAGAAGGGCGGAACATCATCGGGTTGCAGGTACTGGCCCTTCCTCACCTGGGTCTTGCGGCTGAGCTGAGCAGAGATGGGGATGGGAGGGACGGGGGCATCGAGGAGGCCAGGAGGGCACCCAGGTCCTGCGGGCTTTGTGGCACAGACTATTTGGCTTTAAGTCACACATATGGTAGGCACCGTGCTTGCCATTTCCGTACCTTAACTCACTCCTCCACACAGATGGGGGAACGGGGCCTGGAGAAGCTAGTTCACTTGCCGGGACTGCCCAGGAAGATAAGTGGCTGGGCTGGGGCTCGAACCCTGGAGGTCAGGCCCTGGTGCTCTGAACCACTTACAGGTCATGGGACATGCCTTCTCTGGGCCTCAGTTTCCAGTCCGGACCCCTGAGACTGGATGCTGTGGCTTGTTAGAGGGCCACGCAGGCGTCCTGGTGACATGTGATGTCTCATGGCCCGGGGTGAGGCTCTCTGCGATCTTTGGGGTGACTCTCCTCCTGCTTTACTAGATGGGCACCAACAAGTTCGCCAGCCAGCAGGGCATGACGGCCTATGGCACCCGGCGTCACCTCTACGACCCCAAACTGGGCACGGACCAGCCCTTGGACCAGGCCACCATCAGCCTGCAGATGGGCACCAACAAAGGAGCCAGCCAGGTGGGTGGGGGGAATCCTGGGGTGGGGCTGGTGGGGCCCCAGTCCTCCGCGGTTCCCCCCCGCCCCCACCCCAGGCCTGACCTCTCTGCCCTCTGCAGGCCGGCATGACTGCACCTGGGACCAAGCGACAGATCTTCGAGCCCGGGCTGGGCATGGAGCACTGTGACACGCTCAACGTCAGCCTGCAGATGGGCAGCAACAAGGGGGCCTCGCAGAGGGGCATGACGGTGTACGGGCTGCCACGCCAGGTCTATGACCCCAAGTACTGCCTGACGCCCGATTACCCGGAGCTGGGCGAGCCCGCCCACAACCACCACGCGCACAACTACTACAACTCCGCCTAGGGCCCTGGGCCCCCACCCCGCCTTCCCCACCAGGGAGGCTGGCTGCTGCTCTCGGCAGGGCCAAGCCGGCCCCGCCGACCCCCTCCCCCTGCATGGCGTCCTCCAGCCCCCTGGCACCTGCCTACAGGGTTAGCGTCTGGGGGGGGGCAGACTGGGGGGAGTTGTAGGTTGGGGGGGAAGGGGGCCCTCTTCCCCAGAGCGCCGCAGGATCCTACATTGAGCCGGGTGTGCCCAACAGCACCCAAAGGACGCACTGAGCACAGCTATCCCAGCTGTCCCCCCTCCACTCCCTCCCAGGTGGGTCCCCGCAGGACAAGAGGTCCCCCCAAGCAAAGCCCCCAGAGCCCAGGCTCGGCCTGCCCCCACCCCATTCCCGCAGTGGGAGCAAAGTGCATGCCCAGAAACCCAGCGGACACACGCGGTTTGGTTTGCAGCGACTGGCATGTGTGGATGTGACCGCGGCGTTTGTCAACGCGAGCACTTTCTTTTTCTATTTCACTGGAGCACAATAAACAGCTGTAAAATCATTGCCTTGGGGCTGCTCTGTCCTGGAGCTGCGTGGCTCTGGTGCATGCGCCGACAGCCAGGCCTCAGATGCGCTCCGTCTCCCCCATACACTGGGGCGCGGGCACACATACCACACACACCGTGAGACACACACACACAGAGCCCACAGCCCTCGGCTGGACCCAGGACAGGCACGCATGCACTTGTGGGTACAGTGTGCATACACTCTGCAGCCTTGGGCGCACACACACACTCCCCTTTCACAGACTCATGTAGGACCCGCTTCCACTCAAAGACACATCAATACACAGCCTCCCCGCCAACACACACGGTACCCACACACATGCTCAGCTCTGGCGTGCCTCTCTGGGAAGCCTGGGGTTGGGGTGAAAAAAGCGCCCGAGCACTGGGACAGCACACACAATGGGGTGTGAATCACAGTTCCACTTCCCACTAGCTGGGAGACCTGCGGCAACTCACTTGCCCTCCCTAGGCCTGTTTTCCCATCAGGAAGAGGACAGACAGCCTCCTGGGGACAGGGGGAGGTTGACATGAAACAGACGGGGGATGACATTTGGCACTGACTGATGAAAATGGACAAGCCGGGTCCTGGAGGCTCTCGTGGGCAGCAGGGCCCCTTCCGCCCTGGGAGGGCAGGTGGACGGGTGGGAGGGGACGAGGCAGTGGGGGATGTGGGCACTTTGGGGGCCCAGAGCAATGGCCCTTTGAACACTGGCACGGAGCCGGTGAGTAGCATTGCCTGGCACAGCTGCCCTGTGCACTTGGTTCACCTCTTCTTAGGGCTGATTCCTGAGCCTGGCCTGCCAGCCCAGGGCCCTAGGAATGTGTGGACAGCCTCAACCTCCCCACATTTCAGAGGGGACCCTGTCTTCCCAGGGATGTGGGCCCTAGTCGTCCTGCCTGGAAGCCACCACCTGCAGAATTCCAAGGAGAGAATGCAGCCATGGCGGGGAGGGGGTTAGAGAACAGTGCTCTCCCCTTCCTTCCCCATAGCAGGGATGATGCTGGAACACGGGGACTTGCAGAAACAGACACCAGAAGGCCGGCACGCACAGACGCATGCAACCCCTGGGGCCTCGTAAAAGGGATTCCAGGCGCTCTTGGCCTGTCCAGGGCAAGTCCTGCTCCCCCAGGACCAGCATGGGGAAGCTATGCCGAGGAGGATCCATGCCTGGCCCAGGGCCTGACTGCCCGGGAAAACAGCACCATATTAGCACTTGGCCTGTGTGATTGGGGTGGGCGGGCCCTGGAAGCCAGAGGAATGAGCCCCCTTTCTCCTGGACCCCTGAGGGCACCCCCCGACCCAGGCTCCTGTCCACGGCTCTGCCCACCCCCACTGGCTCCTACCTGGGCCAGAGGACCTTACCTGGGACTTTGGAGGGGGAGGTGGGAACACCAGGGAAGGGCATGTCAGGGGCAGGGTGGGCCTATGGAGGGTGGGGGGTACATGCCAGACCCCATGGCTGGCCTAGTGGCCCAGGCTTTCAGCCAGCTCAGCATCTCCCTCCGTCGGCTGTTCACACCCCTTACTGCCCTGGGTGGGTCCCAGAGTCATTCAAACCTAGGCACTATGTTGGGGTCCTCCAGCCTCAGCATGGTCCAGAAGGTTCCATCATCCTTCCTGCTATACCAAGGAGGAACGCAAAGCACAGGTCACCTGGTGCCCAGGCTTGGAGGCTGGGAGCAGGTGCCGATCAGCCCCAGTCAGCCAGAGCACCAGGATCTCCCTAACTGCGAGACTGCCTGAGGCCACCGTGCGACACGCGGCTGTTCACCATAAGCCGGGTTCAGAGGCATTTTTTTTCCAGAATCACCAAGCGATTCACTCAATTCCACCATGACCTAGAGGCCACATCAGATCCCACAGGATAAGGGCTCCATCTCATGAGACTGTCCCTCTGCTTTTGGGCCCATTGCCAAGTCCAGGTTGTCACCTGTGCTTCTGATCCATCAGTAATAGATCAGGGCTTCCCACAACCACCTCCCCAGGTTTGACTCAGTTACTAGAGTGGCTCACAGAACTCAGGGAAACATTGTATCTTACTAAATTAGTAGTTTATTAGAAAAGAATGTAAATCAGGAACAGCCAGAGGGAAGAGGCGCCCAGGCCGAAGTGCGGGGCACGGAGTGTGGAGTTCCCACGCCCTCTGCAGGTGCCCCGCTCTCCCGGCAGCTCCACGGCTCGCCAGCCCCGAGCTAAGCGGATCTCAGGGAAGTCCTTATACAGCTTAACCTGCAGCTCCCCTTTACCTCCTCAGAGCTTGTGGGAGTTACTGAGGGGCCCACTTGGTGAGCACACCGTCTTTTTGGTGACCAGCATCAACTCAGGTGTGATCAAAAGGGGCGCTGTTGAGTGACATCATCATTCAGGAAACTGCAAGGGTTTGAGGAACTCTGTGCCAGGAACCAGGGACAAAGGCCACTATTTATTGTACCTCGCATGTGCAGCTGGCCCCATGTCCAGCCTTCAGTGACCCCTCATCGCCCCTGGAAAAAGGTCCCTTTTGTGGACCCTACCCTCTTCTACGTGCTCTCAATTCCTCCCCAAGGAAGCTGTGAGCTGCTCCCTCAGCCTGGACCCTGGACTCACAGGAAGACAGACTCTGGGCCATAAAGCCAGGCCTCCCGGGCTCAACGCCCAGCTCTGCAGCCTTCTGGCTGGGGGACTTCAACCCAGTAACTTGCCATTTCTGGCGCAATTTGTCACCTGTGAGCCTGGAGCACCTGCCTCATGGGGGGATAGGGTGGGCCTGGAGTGTTACTTCCATCAGGTCACCCCCCCACCCCAGGAAGCCTTCTCTGGTCGTCCTGACCAACCTCCCATCCCACCCCAGGCTCCATTGGTCCCATTTTGGTGTGTGTGTAAATGCCTGACCAGACGTCCGTGGGCTCCTTGGGCCCAGCACTGCCCTGGTTTCACCCCGAATGCCTGTCGCGTGGACAAGATGGATAATTTGGACTAACCAAACCCCATCCCCAAAGGCCCGCCGGGCCACCTCCGAACGCCTCTGTCTCCTCCTCTCCCTCACTGAGCCCCTGGGCCTGACCCAGAACCCAGGAAATCACAGGGAGGCAGGAGTTTGCATCGGCTGCTTTATTTTAGGGCTTGTGGCTGACAGCTAGCCCCGACCCAGCCCCTCCTCGGCTACAAAAGCAACTGAACATGAAAAGGGGCTGTTCTGCTAGGGCCTGGCCAAGGGGGCTATGGGATCGTGGCTCTCAATCTCAGGCCACAGGCCTTGGAAGGCAGGGAAGGAGGGAGGGCAGTCCAGTTCAAACGGGCAAGGTGCTGGTGAGGTGGCTGAGGAGGCTGGAGGGTCCTGAGGCAGCCTCTGCTGGCCTTGCCCTTGCCCAGAAGGTCAGGACACCAGTTCCAGGCAGGAGCAAGCAAGTTCAAGGCTTTCAGAGCCCAGTGAAGCTCTTCAGACCCCCAGGGGGCCCAACAACCCCACCTCACCTCTAGTCCCTGCCCACAAGCACACTGCCAAGGCCACACTTACAACCGCACACACTCACAGCCACACGCACTCCATATACGCAGAGGGCTGGGAAGGCCCTGGACCCACACCCTGGACCCTGGAATGTCTCTGGACTGGCAGCCAAAGGGGCAGGTCCACAGCAGGCGGCGCGCCAGGGGAGCGGGTCCTCTGCATCGCTACTGATTGGCTGCCTCACAGGCATCTATCCAATCGCTGTACACGTCCACTGGTTCTGACAAGTCTGGGCCGCTGAAGTCAAGGACGACCGGTGGCACTGGGCCCCTTCCCTGTACACACCTCTCACTGGTGTCAGCCAGGTCCCCACCCTGCACCCTATGGAAACCAGCAGGTGGCTTCTCTTCCCCCAGGCAGCCACAGCCCTGCACCACGGCAAAGAGCAGGGCCAGATGAGCAGAGATTCGAGTCCGGTCCCCCTGCTCCTGGCCAGGTGCCCTGGGGAAGCCCACCCGGGGCAGGGGAGTCCTGACTTCCCCCAACCCTTCCCATCCGACCCCACCTTCCAGGAAAAGCCTGGTTTCCCAAGGATACATGTGATGGGCGTCTGGAATTCCTCTAGGCACACAGTACAAGAGATGACTCCAGTGTTGCGGGCACGATCCCTGGAACAGGAGGAGGGGGAGGGACTGGTGAGTAAAGGAGTCTGTGTCTCTCGGTGATGATCCCCCCACCTGGGAAGGTCTGGGGCAGAGAGGAGGATGGTGGGAGCAGGGAAGCTGCGTCCCGACTTTGGGAGGAGGGAGGAGGTCGGGGCCCCCACTCACATTTTTACGTCACAAGACTTCTCGTGGTTGCAGAAGGGGCAGGTGAACTGGGTCTCTAGGGTGCCGGTCATCTTCTTTTTGGGGGGTGGCTTCCGTTTTGACTTTCTGCGCCCCATGTCTGAAGGACGGCAAACCTGGGGGTGGTGGGAGCAGAAGTCAGCAACTCGGGGAATCCACAGAGCCCTCCAGCTTGATGCTCTAGGAGGCAGGCTGGGAAGGCGGCCTGGCTGGCACCTCAGGCCCTGCCCCTGAGGGAGGAGGCGCCCAGTCCCCAGGCAGGTGGACAGTCAGGGCACACTCTAGGCAGGGGGCATGGCAGCAGACTCTGGTATCAATCAGGAAGCCTGAGTTCTTTTTTTTTTTTTTTTTTTTTTTTTTTT